GACCCAAATCCAAATCTCGACGAAGTCGAAATGTGTCGATAACCACGGGTGCATTGATGTGACGTGGTTCGAGATGTATTTTTGCGACGTCGCAATTCTTATTAAAAATAATAATAATAAAAGCGGTAAAGAGTTTAAATTTGCACATAGGTTTAACATGTATTAAAATTAGATAAATAAACCGAATATGATAGTTGAGCGACCGTGCTAGAACCACGGAACTCGGGAATGCCTAACACCTTCTCCCGGGTTAACAGAATTCCTTACTCGGATTTCTGGTGCGCGGACTGTTACATAGAGTCAATATTTTTCTCGATTCGGGATTCAACCGGTGACTTGGGACACCATAAATCTCCTAAGTGGCGACTCCGATCCTTTAATAATAAATCCCGTTTCGATTGTCCTTTAATTGGAAAAAACTCCCTCCATGCCCCTTTGCGGTGGCGCGGGTAAAAAGGAGGTGTGACACCGCCTACCGAAAATCGTCTCATGGCGGAGGCCGATCTCCAAACCCACCTATATTTACACCCTATAACCTTCACAACCCCTTAAACCCAAATCCCTTATTGATTTCCCCAAACAACCCCACAAACTCCCCGAATTCCAGATCTGAAATTCGAAAAAACCTAATTTTGCATTTTTTTGGGGGGATTTCTGCGGATTGTTTGTTTGTTTGGCTTGAAGCTTGCCCAAGTAGACTACTCTTATCAAGAGTAGTCATTTGGGTCAGTTTAAATCCCTTTCAAAGCACAACCAGAATCGGACCGAGTTTTGTCACTATTTTCTTGGTCCACCTTCATTGTTGGAATCGGTATACCCATTGGCCTTTCCCATTTGTTTATTGATTGTGTTTTCTTCATTAGCTTTATTTGCATGATAGGTTAGAATAATTAACAAGTAGATCTTAGTTTAATTTTAATCAGTATTTAGTTATTTGAATCATTTGTTCGCATGTTTAGGTTAATGGCTAATTACAATCTGTTTGCGGATAATTTAACATAAGTTTAAGTAGTTAGGCATAAATTGCAGACCTCTTAGATTTATTGCTATTTAAATAGATTTAGTTGTTAGTTGATTAGGTACTAATTAACTTCAAAAGTTCAAATGATTTGTTGGGTAATTTGTACCATTTTTTTTACTTTGATGTTTGGGCCTGGTTTGGCCAGCGAAGGCTTGATCAGTCAAGGCCTAGGGTTGGTGCTGGATTTGGGCCTGTCTTGGGCCATTTGACCATGACACTTGGCCAAAACCCAAGAGGAAGGTTCTAGAAAGTGTACTAGCTGTCCAAAATTGTCACGATCCATTTTCTGAACAAGCCGGGACCGGCACTCGATCACTAAACATGACCGAGCGAACCATCTCTGCTTATCAAATCTACTATAACTCCAAACTTTATATGCAACAAGGCAATACTCTAACCAAATACTTTTGTTTAATTTAAACATTTAAATAAATCAACTCCAAAACTTTATTCATAGTAACCAATGAAATACTACTAAGTTATTATCAAAAATATCTGAATCTTAACCCAACGACTATGTCTATGAAGCCTCTACTGATAAACTGACGCACTGCTCAGGACATGAGATTTCCTAGCCAGTTCTATAAGTAACAAAGAAATAACTAAATAAAGATGACTCTAAGAAATACTCTACGAACAAAAGCGGAGCTCACCACACTACAAGAAATTAGACTTATTGCGGCGACTAAAGTCGCTACAAAATCCATGAAAGTCGCTGCTACATGTTATTAGTGGCGACATTTGTGTTGCTACAAGGAAAACTGTAACTGAAAAGTATTTGTGGCAAAGGCAAAAAGGTCGCCGCTAAAAGCTCATATTTTGCGGCGACACAGTTGCCACAAAAGGTGGCAAAACCTGCTACAAAAATGGTTCCACAAGAATAAAATTTTAGCTGGGTCGCCACTGCTATTCCCTTTTAGCGGCGACTGCTATCGCTGGCAAAACATATTTTCAGTGGCAAGTTCATATCGCCACTAAAAATAACTTTTAGTAGCAACTCATGTCGCTACAAAATAATTAACCAAGAAAGGCACAATAACTTTCTGTTGCGACTAAAGTCGCTGCAAAATAAATAAACTAACAGTGGCAATTTTAACATCGCAACAATTACTAATATTTTGTGACAAAATAATGTTGCCACTAAAACTTATCTTCTCAAAAGTTATAATGACCAAAATTATATATATATCCGGTAGGAACCTAATTCTCTAAATTTAATAACTGGATATTCACATCTATTGACTTCCAATATTAAAAGCAACCAATAATATTTAAAAAACAAAAGAATTTCTCAAACTAAATATTATAAATATTTTCATTACAAAAAAGTCAATTACATAATACTACACGACACTTCATTGTGCATTTGTAATTGTACGCATATACATATCCCAAAAAAAGACAAAATATTAAGTGCCTTGTAATTGCTCCTTGGTNCTTATCCAGATGCTACTTGATCAAATTACAAGTTCATATCATAACCAGCATATCGTCCCTTCACATAGAAATTCAATATAGCTGTTTCATTTCATCAGCAACATATATTTACGGTGTTTTCTTCATATTAACTGCCATAAACGTAACTAATTACGAGATTAAGAGAATTAAATTGGTTTGTAAAAATCCAGATTTCACATAAACAAAAAATAGACCAATAGTCTATTATCAAGAGGATGAAATTTAAAGAAGGAGAAGTTGAAAAGAAGATAGGGAGCAAGTGACGGAAGAATTATCCAGAATTAAGGAAGAAGAAATGCCGAGAAGGAAGACGAATTGTTAAGAAGCAGCAGAGCAAGTACCTGTTGCTGCATTCTGATCATGAAACTAGCAAATTGTTCATGCATCCTCTTGTCCACTTCTAGATTGATCCTTTTGCCTACTTCTGCATTTGTGTGTTCACACTCCTCTGCCAACTTCCTTTGCAACTCAAGCTCCATATTTCTTTTCAACTCAACAGCCATTTGTTCACGTTCTTCTTGCAACTTCCTATCCATCTCGGCTTTCATCTCTTGACGCACAATTTCCATAGCTGAAGACACGATGGACTCTATGTTTGCATGCTGCGTGTTACTCTTTTTAGGAGGCTTCTCTCCGTATCCTTTTCCGCGAACATAGCTTGTTCTCTTACCAAGAACGGTGGATAAAATCTCATCTCTAGTCATGGAATGCTCTGTTCAGATTGTTGTTGAGTGACAACATCATGGAGTTGACCCTGCATTTATGCATAATCATTTACATCGAAACATAATAAAACACACTGAATGTAACTTACAGAAACAGAAAGATAACAAGTCTATGATTTTAGATAATTACATGAATTTGTTGGGATTGTGAATCCACTCACACCAGTTCTCCTCTATCATCCTTGCATGTATGTTGGATCTCCCAAACATTATCTGGTGTGTATATTTCTCCAGTAATAGGATTTCTCTGCAATATAATTTCAGAGAAAAAATGGCTAAGCAAATATATAAATATTTAAATAATAAAGAAGCATATGTGATATTAGGGGATTAAATATATTTTTACCGTAGATTCCTCTACTTTTGCAAAAGACTTTGTACAACAAGTATGCTTAGTTATTTGCTTTTCTCTGATTAAGCAAACATTTTCCTCGACAGGATGAAAATTTCATGAGGTAGTACATGTAAAGTTTCCAAGAACCTCACATCACACTGTTCAACCAGAGATTGACAACAAATATCATACCAATCTTGTGGGAATATCAAGCAAAAAATAAACTACAAAACAACAAGCCAACAGTGGACCAACAAAAGGAAAATCTACTGAAACAGATTCCTTGCTTGCAACTTAAAATCCACATCGAAGAGCTCTTTTCTTAAAAGATACAGAGGATAAGAAAGGAAGTTTTGGCTTTAGAAGCAACTATCTCAGTAATACCTCCACCACACCTTGATCCTGGAACCATAATAACACATCAGAATAAATAACTGAATCAAGATACTCACACATTTACAGAGATTTAGAAGGATAAAATGGAGAACAAAATTCAAGAACTTAGCTAAGTCATCTCAAATTTGAGGATTATGATCGCAACCAAGAACAACAAAATGATCCATCAGATAAATAAGGGGGCAAAAGGCATGTAAAGTAAGTGATAATTTAACAGAAAGTGTAGGGATAAAAATATACCATTCTTTTTGTAAAAGAGGCTTAAAAAGCAAGACACATAAATTGAAATAAAGAGAGAATCTAGTATTGGTGTTGCCATTTCTCACGAAGCCACAAGATTCAACTAAGCTTTTCTCTATGTGAAGGAAAAGAATGGAAGTATTCAAGTCCATTTAATCAACAAATCATGTGTTGATTTCCAGCTAAACAAAAGGAAACGTGATCAACACTCCCTAAGTGATTGCATAAACAAAAGCTTTTCATATTATTTTGATTTTAAAGAAGTAATGAGCAACCAAAGTTAAAATATATACTCCAACTACTTTGCACAAAGAACTAGTGAAAACATCATCGTTACCAATAAATCATCGACACAGTTGACACTCACGTGCACAAGGAAACTATCAGATTTGAAAATCCACACCCTAGTGACTATTTTTGCAAGGTGATACAACAAGAAACTTGTGCAAAAGCCCTAGTGATGCTGTTACACTACAAGAAACTTGTGCAAAAACTATCAGGAAGGTGATACAACAAGAAACTTGACTGTTTTTGCAGTCTTATTGATGCTGTTACACTACAAAGGGTGGAAAGGATCACAATGGTCCAGATTTTGTGCCTTGCTGACCAGCTGATATCAACATGATTCAACAGGAAGATTTCATGCAAGGATATCAACATGATTCAACAAGAGGCTACACAAAAACATGTGCAAAAGCAGTGCATTGGTTTGGACAGTGCAGTTAATTGTTTATGCGTATGGCACAGGTATTTCTTCTACAAATGTAGGTACTNAAGAATGATAATATTGTAACTATTTTTCCAAACTTAAGCACATGATTACAGCTTATCAATGTTTTATTTATGGTTATAGACTAGTTATGTTTACGACGTGGGTGCAAGATTCTACTAATTAAACGCAATAATTTTCATGATTACTGTCAACCAGAACTTGTGGGTGATGAAGAAACCTCTAAAAACAATGTCTACAAAAGATTGCATAACTCAAAAAAATGCGAAGTCTAAATCCTCACAAAAGATATTAGAGAGACGACAACAACATAGCCCATGGGAAGAAACAATGTTAAGAATACAAGCATACTTCGAATCTAGTGATTAACCTTAATTGATAAGTAATGACAGTAAAAAACAAAGAATATCAAATAATTTAACTCTATCTGTTTGTAAATGGTCTTTATTCTCATACAAATCTGAGATCACTATGAATTTCAGAAATCTACATAACAAAAATGAATACACCACAGTAGAAACACATTGGATACAACTGCTAAAGGAAAATTATGGCAGCGATTCAACCAGCCCTTACGAGTATGGAATACCAACATACAATAGGTCTCTCAACAAGAAGCTTTTAACTTACCCAAACTAAGATAGTCAAGTTCTGTCAAGACTGAAAATCAACAACAACAACACCAAATACGCCTCAAATGAGTCTTCCTGTGCGGCTCTCTTTTTTTGTATTCCTATAGATTATCGAATGGTTCAGAGAAATTCGAGATGAAATCTAAGAATACAAATATAAAATTACTGAAATAACAATAATCCCTAACTGCATGTTGAAAATTTTGCCTTAAAGAATCCTTATAAAAAAATCCAAACATAAATTTATACATAAACTAGTATGGGTATAAACAAAAAAGAAAGAATTAGGGTCACTAGCAGCTATATGAGAGAAATCGGTTGTTCAATTCTTCCACCACAAAATCGATATGTATTTGAACAACAGCTATATCAGATTTTTCGTTCTAAAAGAAAAAGGAAAAGAATAGGGATTTGAACACATACCTGATAAATGAGATTCACATTTTGATTAGAAAGATTTAGAGCTGGGTCATGAAATTTTAGCAGAGATGTGATTTTAGAGAGAGGGGGGAAGGATTTCTAGAGAGAGGCATGTTTGTGTGTCTGAAGGGCTTCGTATCTTTTAATTAGAAAGAAGGAGTTTTTTTTTAATTTTTTGTTGTTATTTTAAATTAAAATTTCTAGGGTATAGTAGCGACCTAGTCGTTGCAAAATCTCTTTAGCGGCGATAGGTTAAAAGTCGCCACAAATAATTTGGAGCCAAAATTTTATTCTTAGCGGGACCGAAAATTTCAGCCACATCAGAGGCGACCTCAGAAAAGTCGGTGCTAAATATTCACCTTCTGTAGCGACCTTTTAATGTCGCTGCTAATACTATAAATTTTGTAGCAACCTATAGGGTCGCCACTATATGTTTCCACTAAAAATCCAAATTCTTGTAGTGCCAATAGCACTGGAAGAGAAGGAAGTCCTAACTCGTAGCCTGCTCGCCTGCAAATCTGGTTCTTACGTTGTACTGCAGACCAACATAGGTTCCCAAAAGAGAATGTCAGTACCATCCATTGTACTCGGTGAGTCTCAACAACAGAAGGAGAAACTTTAATAACATATACATTATGAGCAAAAGTTCTAAATGCATGTAAAACATAAGGCTTATAAGAATAATTCTAAATAATTGCATAATAGCAGTTTATGAATATTCCAAAAGAAATTATTTTCTTTTTCTTTCTTATAAAAAAAATACTTCACTTTATACTTTGGGAGTTCCAACTATCCTGACTTAATTCTATCTTAGTCACAGTGTGATCGGCACGAGTTAGATCCCAGCCTGATCGAATAGGCCCAATCCACGAGGTGTCACTCGCTTCATGGTTCTCAGTGCTCATGTCTCATACCTTAGCATGGCTAAGTAAATTCTCAGCAACGAGACCCTCGGCTCGTGTGCTCCCTACTTTGGCACAAGTAGTTTCAGTAAGTCAACGCCTTGGTCAGGACCCTAGGCCTGGACGATGACCCCTTCTCAGAATAAAGGATACTCCCGAAAATCTTTTCTTTCTAAAACTTCTTCTTGTGACTTTTCAAGTCTAAATCTTTTATACATACTCATACTGGTATCCTTAAATGTAAGGCATGACATAAGAATGAAGTAAACATTCAAAAGTATTTATAAAGGTTCTTGATCCTTCATGAATTTTCAACATGAAAATGGCATATAAGAATAACATAAAAATCTGAAATTTATGCACATACATCCAAATAATCATCTAAACTTCAGCTAGAAAATAATTCTAAGCTAATAGGTACTTACTACTCCAATTAAGTATATATTAACTCTTTTATGCAATTCATCAAACACCTTGTGTGCATGCTTTTGTGAGTTAAACCACTTTAGTAAAGGGTTATATCAACTCACCTCAAAACTTCTCGAGCCAATACCTAGGCCCCAGTCCAATTAACATCAGTCAAACAATGAATTCTACAACAACGAGTACTACTATAGGGTAATTGACAATAGGGAATTTTATATACCTGAGTTCAAGAATTAGTGATTTGTAAAGAACCCTAGATTTTTCGTTGCCTGCGTGATAAGAAACCTCTGTTTCGTGAGCAAACTGTTCTTTTTCGTCTAAGCTTTTGCCTTCCATCGTTTTTGATAATGACAGAATGAACGTTCTGTTTCTCTTTGAGGCTTGGGGCCTTTTTGTTTTCCACAACCCTTCTATGGGCTTTTAGCCCTTTTTCCTTTCTTCCTTTTTTTTTTTAATTTAACTAATAACTAATGATACTCACTTTAAAAAAATTAATAATATTTCCCTAATTGTATATCAAATTATTTATAAATAGAAAAGTAACTCAAAAAATCAATCACAAGGGCTTAAATCCTTAAGTATAATTAAAAATTAAAAAAATTAAATTAAATTCTATATTTAGCGCGTCTTAAAATTTTTATAGATTTGAGGAGTGTTACAAAAATAGTGTAGAAAAATATGTGAAATATCTTAAATGGACAGCTGTCCATAGGCAGTTATGAAAGATGTCTTTTCTCCCTGAAATCTAGGGGTTGGATGAAGAGAATAATTCTTTTATTCTTTTAGGCACATGAAAGATTTAGTACCTATAAAAAATGGACCTTTTCTCTTTCATTGGGAGAGATTTTCAGACTCTAAAAACACTTCTAAACAATACAGCTCTGCCGTTTCATTAGTTGAGCTATTTTTCTTTGGCTTTTTGACCTAGGATAGAATAGTTTTTCTTGGAATTTCTGGTTGATTTTCAAAGGCTGAAATATGGTTTAAGCTTGGAGCTGTGTGATATTGTTGTTGTGTGCTGCTGATTTTTACTGAAGTTCTTGCTACTTTCTGTTGTTCTCAAAGATTTCTCACTTTGTTTTTGCTGTGTTCAGGTACTTCTGGAACCTTTGAGTGACAAAAATAAAGTTCTAAGCATGTGTTTAGGATACATGTAATATGAAATTGATGTTTAAATGTTAAACTTTAGTTTTTCTTTACCTACGATTCCTTCAAGTTGTTTAGCTTTGCAATTTCTTTTCAGCCTTGTTTAAGTATTCTGGATTTGTTGTGTTAGTCCACAATTTAGTTGTAATATTTATGTGTTGAACGTTTAAATTGGTCCATCCTTTTCATCTGTTGATTGAAGTTCAAGATGATTGATAGTTTCAGCAGTCTATTCTATTCATTCATTTCAAAATGTGTTAGTTAATATGTTGGCCATGGTGCCTCCTGTAGACAGAGGTTTCAAGTTCATACTAGTTTAAATGAAATTCAGGATTTAATTGCAGTGATATTCAGATTGGTATTTTAAAATCTCAGTTATGGCTGAAGTAATTACATGTTTGCTTTAATGTGACTAGCTAGTAGTTTAAGTTAGTTTAAGCGGACATTGTACCATTAATGGCATGTTAATAAATTAAAACCTATAATATGGTTGGTCAGTATTTGATTTTTCAGAATTTTTATGATATTTTGTGTTTTACGTGATTTAGAGGAAATTAAGTCTCAGTTGGGCCTTAATGTTGAAGGCCCTCCTACTAGAAGCAGTTGGGCATGGTATTAGCCCAGATGAGGTAGCTTGGTCGAAACCAGACCTGGTGTGCCTCTGTTTTCTGCTTCTTTCCACTTTTGGGCTCAGTTTCGAGCCCAATCAACTTCAGTGTTTTTATTTCATTAAGTTTTTCTTAGATAGCAAAATGGGCCTACGGCTGGCCCAATTTTTCTGAAATAATTAAAGGCTTAACAATCTCCCAATGCATATCTATAATTAATAGCTTTATAGTGAATTCTGACTTAGTTTAAACATGAGCCTTTGTAGCTTGTTTAGGCGTGTTTATAAGAAAAATCATCATAGCTACGGGTACGGTTTCTGTGACGTAGTTGTGATACATAATTTTCAAATTCGGGTGCCCATTTCATGTGACCCGGCCACAACTTCTAATAATGCTAATAAATTAAATACGTTGCAGATCATGGGTACGGCTCCCTTGACACGATTCGCAATGTGTACCAAGCAAACAAGTGTACGACAATCGTAACTTGTTCCTGAATAATTCCATAAATAATTAAAAGCGGTTAAAGGTTAAAAAAATGCATAATAGGTATAAAATATATAATTAATCAGATAATTAGGCCAATTAATAATAGTTGAGTGACCGCGCTGAAACCACGGAACTCGGAAATGCCTAACACCTTATCCTAGGTTAACATAATTCTTTACCCAGATTTTTGTGTTTCGCGGACCGTAAAACATAGTCAAACTTCCTCGATTCGGGATTTTTAAACCGGTGACTTGGGACACCATAAATTATCCCAAGTGGTGACTCTGAATTTGAATAAATAATCCCGTTTCGGTTATTGTCACTTTAATTGGAAAAACTCCTTTATACCCTCTCGGGTAGAAAAGGGAGGTGTGACAGCTCTGGCGACTCTGCTGGGGACCGAACCCAGAATCTCTGGTTCAAGGTTTAAGAATTCGAGCTTAGAATAATTGTTATATTTGGCTGTTGTTTATTATCTGATTTTTATTACATGCTTAGGCCTAATGTGCTAAATGTCGCTTTTTACCGCTTTGATGTTATTTGAACTGTATATAAACTGCTGCGAAACCCTACTCTTCTAATCTTCTCGGAAGTTCACGCTGGCATGACTTCTTTTCTGTTAGTGTCATATCCTAATTTAGAACGAGGTTCGGACAAGTTGTAAAGACGGATAATCTTTTGGTTACCGGTACGCTGCCCCTGGCTCGAGTTGTCCGCTCGGGTAAGCCAGATCTAGAACAATACACCCAGTATGAACGCTTGTTTGCATCATGTGAATTTGACTTAGGGGACTCAACACAGGGGTTGGATCCGTCTAGGACAGGTGTACCTGAAATTTAAAGTCCATCATGATTCATTTTTACTTGCTATTTGTGCATTTATATGTTTCGGCTTACATGTTGACCGGCTCTTAGATTAGGGAGGAAAATCAAAGTAAAACCAAGATTGAGGTAGGAGAGAGAACTTCATCTGTTTCCCGAAAATGGTGTTTAAAACATCTTGAAACTCTGCCGAAATTTTGAAGAAAAAAAAGAGAAAAAAAGGGGAGAAGGTCATTCCAAAATGGTTCGTATGTTCTTGTTGCGTCAAAACTGACCGAACTACGCGAGTTTGATTCTCACCGGATGTGGGATACCTAGGCAACCCTCATCGGGTCCAGCCCCGCTTTTGCAAAAATAACCAAAAATATGAAGCGTCGTCATTTTTGTCGTAAATAAAGTGGGTGATGCCTTTTTGTCTAAATAGCCAAGTGTCCCAACGGGACACCGGAAGGCCATTTTTGCAATTATAGCCACCGACGACTTCTTTGTCAATTTTTGGCAGCCTAGCAAACACAGCCCTAAAATCTTCCCTTTTGAAGTGCTGAAGGGCCGTATTTGCAAAATTAGCCTTGATTTATTTGAATTTTTGCAAAATGAACCTTTTTATCAGCTTTTAAATAAAACTCACTTTGTTTTAAACCAATCACCCTAATCTAAATGTGCAGAATGAGCACGAGTCAAAATTTACCGATAAAGGTTATG